TGAACTGTTTTCATACTGTAAGGACATTCATTCTTAACCTCTTTACGCATTATGTTATTCACTGGGCTTTAGCTCACTGCTCATATATATATGTAGGTGTTCAGGCACCAGACCGCAGCTAGGAGCGTCGAGGCTAACTCCAGTTTTGTCAAGCCAGCATATGTGCCTCACTGCGAGGTTCCGAGCCTATCGTGTTAAGGCTTAGGGGTGTTTTATAATTCCCCCTTTTGTACTGTCTTACTGTTTTGTAATAACCGAATGGATTGTATAGACTGCATGTTACTGTACTGTTATGTAAGGGATGAAGTCCCTAGTCTGAATGATTGTAAATATTGTGCATACTGTTCTGTACTGTCTACGTACAAATGTATGAAAGTTTTTTTGCATACAGACTGTCACAGCTCATTGGACATTGTTTCTTTACTGTTTTGGCTTCCGCCAGGCCCTGTACTCTGTTTTACTGTTCTATTATTCTGCAGGCCTTCGGTAATCTCGGATTACTGGCCGGTTACGGTGCTAAACTCATAGGGCCGGGTTTGGGTCGTGACAAGTTCTAACTGTTGAAAAACATGTGTGTAGCATTGATGATGCTATGATTTTACCTCCATTGAGTAAAAGACTAACTGGAAGGCCAAAGAAGAACAGAATTGCTTCTACTAGAGAGTTTAAAAGGGTGATGAAGTGTAGTCAATGTGAGAGTATTGGTCGCCATAATAAGAAGACATGTAAGGAATTTTTGTTAAATAGTTGAGGATAATAAATTTTATTGATTGAATAATACATTTGAGGATATTAGAGGAATTTATGTTGCATTTTTCGATGTTGGTTAACAGAGAGAAATTTGTATGGATATGGATCTTATTACAAAAATAATATGTCTGTTGTGCGTTGTGTTTAGTATTTTCTCTGAAATTTTTTCTGTAATTTCTGAATCAATGCGCTTGTGTTTTTGAAGCATACTTTGGGCAGTGTATTTATAATACCAGCCAAATTAATCTAGAAAAATTTTCCAGGAGCAGAAAAAATTACTTTGTGTATGTTGTTTTTTAAAATGTACTTTTGGATAGTGTGTATATAATACCAATCAAATTCATCTAGAGAAATTTTCCAATAGCAGAAAAAATTACTTTGTGTATCGTGTTTTTTGAAACATACTGTGGGAGTGTCTTTATAATACCAATCAAATTCATCCAGAGAAATTTGCCAATAGTAAAACATATTACTATGTTTATTGTGCTTGTTGAAACATACTTTAGGCAGTGTGTTTATAATATCAACCAAATTCATCCAGAGAAATTTGCCACTAATAGAGAAAATTACTCTATGCATTGTGTTTTGTGATGTCAAATTCATCTAGAGAAATTTGCAAATAGTAGAGAAAATTACTATGTGCATTGTATCTTTTTGAATATAATGGTGGTGAATTACTTTGTGCATTTTTTATACCAACATAGTGCATTACAAATTACATGATCATATAAGCGCCCTCTTTGCATGATACGAGATAAATTTCTCTGTGAAATTCTGGTAACTTCAAACCAGAGAAATTTCTTCAGATATAATTTTCTCTGTGTGGATTGTGTTGACAATCACCACTTAACATGCATTATAAATATATAAATATATATATGTAATCATTGATAGCTATGAAATTTTGAAGTTTACATTAGCCAAACATTATCATTCCTTCAATATATGAAAAAAAATGTTGAAGGGTTATTCCTAATTACATTGTGTGCATTGTCTTCCTTTCACTAGTGTTGCTTTCACTATTATACTTTTGTTACTTCTTCTGGTGGTATTTGAATTGGTTCTGTCTATTATCGGCCAACTTCGGTCACAAATCTCTCTATGATTTCTGTCCTCATCAACCTTACATCTTGTGTTGACAATGTCGAGCTGATAGGTTCGTGGTTGATTTATTGTCTCATTATGTAGCATACAAAGAGGCTATAATCCACACAGCATACAAATTATAGGTATAATTAGTTTTGAAAAACATTCAAATTAAATTATCTTATTTATAGATGTTGTGTGAAACTTACAAATCACTGGCTTGTTGTGCAGCATTGTCGACATATTAAAAGTTATAATTTGTGTTTTGTGAGTCTATCAATTTGAAAGAGGGTTATGATCGTGCCTCTTTTTCAAGGCAGGCTTTCAAAAAATTCTCCACAAAATCATGTTGTAAAAAATAATTTTTAAATAATAGAGAAATTTACACACAAAGACACAAATTAATGGGAGTCTATGAAAATTATCATCACATAAATATTATCTTGGATCAGAGAAATTTGCACTCATTACCAGTTATTTTGCATATTTGAGATATTTGTCGTGTACATCATCCCTCTCTGTCGTCAGCGAATTGTAGAACCTCCATAAATTGTCTTTTTTGTCCAAGACAAGCAAGGTCCAATGATTTTCATCAGTTGACATCTCATTGCCACCGCTATTTATTGGGAAATTGAGGAACCTGTAGTTTCTCCATGCGGTTTCAAGATGCTTGTCAAACAATGAGATTCGAAAACTTTGATTTTCTATCATCTTGATGAAGTTATGCAGTCACAGAAAATCAAACAATGGTCAAAGAAAGTTGAAATGACAGAAATTTCAGAAATAGACACATAGAGAAATTTGAAATGCACACAACTAGGCAGAGAAAATTAAACAAGTCACACAACTGGCTTCAAGAAGTATCTTAACAAGAGAAAGTAGTTAGCAAATTCCAGAGAAAATGAAATAAAATAGTAGTAACATACCAAGCTCATGCATGTGAAAAAAAAAATGAAGTTGCTTGTTGTCCTTTTCTTCTTTGGTCAACAAATAGTATCTCTCCATAACCATCAATGTTCTAAAAATATCATTTATAATTGTAACGTTGGTTTGTAAAGGCTTATGGAACATTGCAGAGAAATTTGATGAGAGACTTATATTGTTGGCAATTTCTTTTTCCTTTATTAGGTTTCTGATATCTTCAAAGTAATGAGATTTAACTCATTTGTCCAGATGAAAGCCCTACAAAATGACAAAGAAATGATTTAATAGTTGTTAATGTAATATAAGTTAGTAAATTATTGTTTGTTATTTTCTATTTTATTTGTTGTACGTCTAGTCCAGACACATTTGATATGTGCTGCAAGATATCTTTGACATGTTCTTTTACCAATTTTGCAACCGGTAGACTTTGTTGAAAATCCAAGATTTTCTGACGCTTGTTGGTTGAGGTAAGACATAGTCATCGGCATCAAATACTTCTTTGTCTTTGGTGGTTTGCTCTATTGGCTTTGCAGCTTACTTTGAACCTCTAGTGATCTTCACAACTTTAGGATATTGAAAATCTGGATCTTGCTTTTCTTTTCTTTCTTTTGCTTTTAAATTAGACAGTGAAATATCAGTAAAAGTTAAATTTATCTAAAGTAACAGATCATATTTCAATATGCAAATTTATTTGATTCAATATTTTCTAGTTATACTTCTGTCTTTTGTTTAGGTTGTTGTTTGTGTGCCATTTTTTCTTGTTGGGTTATTGGTTCTTGTTCCACTTCCATTTCAACTATACACAGTGAAAATCAAACAAGCCCTAAAAATCAGCGTAGTCAGAGAAATTACAACATCTAGAGAAAATTACACACATATGGAAGCAAATAGATAGAGAAAATCAAATAAGCAGCAAAAATTAAACTGACTAAACTAATGTGGTCAGAGAAATTTAAATTCTAGAGAAAATTACCATTGACAAAGAAAATTTTAGTAAATAGAAATTTCTCTGAGTTATGTTGACTGAAGAACATAAGTTTTCGTGGTTTTAGATTTTCACTGACCTTGGGGTTGAACTTGTGTTGGTGTTCGGTAAGGTTGTGTTCCTAGTTGGACAGATAATTTTTGAATTTGCTCATGCAATCTGGCATTTTCAATTTCAACCTCTGAAATTGAATGCCTCAACTATTGAATTGTTTTTTATTATCATCATTTTAAACCTCCATCATCCTTAGCTTTAGTTGGTTTGTACTGTCTCTTTCTTGAAGTTCTGAATTATTTGATGTTAAGGTTTTTATTGCAATGCTCTTTTCTTCGAGTAATTGATTCCAATTTTTCTCTTCTTCTATTTTAGATTTAGAAAGTGCCTTTAGTCTTTCATGCAGATTAACAATTTGAGCAACCTCTGATTCGTCTGATTCTTAAGGTTGTTGCATTGTTGAGCCACAAATGCTATCATGACGTTGGTTTATCCGCTCATTATTTCCTTGTTCATCCCTTTCCTCATTGTTTCCTTCTTCCTCTTTAGATTCAGTGCCTTCATCTTTTTCTTTATTGTCTTCTTCTTCTTTTCCTTCATATTCTTCCTTGTCTTCTACTTCTTCATTTCTTCTGTAGCTTCCTTTTCTTCACTGCTTGCTTGATCTTCTTCTCAATTGCTTGTTTTTTGTTCTTCTTTGTTGCCTTTTCCTTCTTCATTCCCTCATTCTTCTTCAAATAAATCTTCTAATGTCTCATTGAATTTAGTCAATGCCTTTTTTGCTTCTTTCTTCTTCTTTTTACCAAGACAAAACTCCTCTGATGGATTTTTAGCTAGCTCCTCATTAGCTATCTATAACAGGAGGGTCTTTTATTAGAGAAATATTAAAATTTCATCAAGAGAAAAATTCAAACAAGATCAACCAAATGCCAAATAAAATTCATCTAAATCATACTAATGGGAAACAAATTTCAGAGAAAATTTTATGGGCCAGAGAAAATTACACACAATGAGACATAATTTTATAAGTCAGAGAAAATAATGAAACAAGCAACATAATTTAGATATCAGAGAAAATCAATCAAGGCATATAAGTTAATGTTACTATAATTATGGTCAGGGAAATTTGGATTCTAGAGAAAATTCATTACAAGGGCAGAAATAAACCAGTGTGTTATTGTCTTCCGAGTCAATGATAGTTACATGTTCGCATAGCCAATACTGTGATGGAAATTGAAGTATTTAAATTTTACTAAACACACAAATTTGTGAGTATCATAACTGTAAATGAAAATAGAAATTCTACTTATCAGCAATGCAATGACACACCCCGTAGGGCCGTAACTTTCTCTAGAGTTTTGTGCAATGCTGTTATAGAATTGATCAATATTGCTGTTATTGCTTCTGGCCAATCGTACT